TCCTGGTCCTGAACATGAGGCATCATGATTATTATTTCCAGATACCCAGCATTAGCCTAGTGCCTAAAAGCACAGTGTTTGTTGATCAGATAAATAATTAAGAATTACCTATGTCAGAGAAATATAAGGAGAAAGACGTTGCCCATCAAATACCAATTCAGCTATCACGATTAATTTCAGAGATACATTATGTTGGAATATTTTGAGCAAGGGTTCTCCCCCTAGATTTAATTAGGGAAGCAAAGGCAATATCCTATCAGGGTAATTCTCCTTTTCTATGCTCTTCTTTTAAAAAAATCTTTTAAGCCTGCAATGCTGCTTTGGCTGGTACAGCAAAAGGTGCCACCCTGCGTCCTCTCTGTAGCAATGCACATCACTCCGAAGAGTCTGTCAGCTGTGCCACAAGCTCTCAAACAAGCCAGGAGATGGCCTTAAAGATCCAAGGGCCAACAGAAGGTTACAGAAGACAAAAATAGGGCTCAGAGACAAGCAAAGCCAAAAAGACCTCGGGAGTCATTTCAAGTTATACATGGGGAAACCGAGGCTCTGGAAGGGTGCAAGGTACCCCAGGTTATCAGTTAGGAAGCAACGGTTGTGATCCAAAGGCTTTGCCCTAAAACCCTGGACAGTTCAGGTGAATGTATCAGGTATGTCTCCTAAATGTGCCTCCAGCCTCTGTCCCCAGGATGTAAGACAAATAGTTCACCAGGGCTCCTCCAGAGCTGGCTGAGGGTGTAAGGGGACCTTGGCCACAGTCTGAAGCTGCACGTCACACTATAAGTCACCTGAACCAGGGGGCTGAGTTAGGTCACAGCAAATACTTTCACCCATTCAAAAAAATGTTCTCGGAAGTTGCGGCTGGGCAACTCATCCAGTTCAGTCCAACTCTGATCCAGTGTCCAGGCGGATACTTGTTCATCCACAGGGGCCCCACATGCTAGGGATGAGAAGCATAATTCTGCAGAGAGATTGCCTGGGTTGGAAGCCCTCTTCTGCTTAGTTGTAAGATTTCAAGCTTGTTATTCAATCTCTGCAGACTCAATTCCTTCCTCTATAAAAGAGACATCAAGCTGGACGTCGTGGTGCACACCTTTAATCCCAGCACTGGGGAAGCTGAGGCAGGAGGACCGCTATGAGTTCGAGAGCAGCCTGGGCTACATAGTGAGTTCCAGGTCAGTCTCAACTACATAGTGAGACCCTGTCTCAAAAAAACAAATAAACAAAGAGACATCGATAGTGCCTACTTGGTGGGTCTGCTGAGAGGATGGCGTGGCCGCACACACACACACACACACACACACACACACACACTCCTTGACCATCTCTTCCAGATGCAGCACCGGTCCTATGCATTCACCGAACCCAAAGAAGAATGGTACTCTATGCTCTCCAGGAACTCCTCCCACTAAATAAAGGCTGAAAAGCATCAGAGGACTCCAGTGTTAGATGAGCGATGTCAGGCAGGGACAGGATCACACTGTGCATTTTGGTCAAAGGAGGATGGAGAGTTCCACTGGGGATGAGAGACAGGATAAGGAGTTCTTCAAAATGGATTCTGTGGACAGCTGGCTCTGGGAGAAGGGAGCCTAAGGAGAAGGGTGAGTGGTGGTGAGTGGGAAGCCAGAGGTGAGCTGAGACCCCAGGCTCCAGTGCGTGTCTTCCAAGAGTGGTTCCAGAGTTTCTACAGAGGACAGGTCTTGGAGAGGAAAGGGTTCCAAGTGGAATCTGCCCCAGCACGGCCCTGTGTCTTACAGTTGATATAGCATACACTATCCCACAACAGCCCCAGAGCAAGGCTGGGTGGTCACCTTATAATTTGATCACACAGTGGGTGCACTTGTTGCTACCATGTGCCAAATGCTTCCTAGCACGAGGCCCACAGCTACTCCTCTCATCTTTATAGGTGCCTATCATCTCCTACTTACAGATAAGCAAACAGACTGGTAATAGTTCAGGAGATTTGTCCAAGGTCACTCAGCTGGTCTGGGATTCAGACACACACAGAGCTGGCTTCACAGTCCACAACCTTGACCATCAAGCTGGCAGGATGACTGGGACAGAGAGCTGGGGAGTGAGTGAGTCCTCCAGGGTCCAGTAATCGAGTAGAAAACACAAAATTCAATCCCAGGTTCTTGGAGGCCTGGGTAGTGGCCTCCTCTCCACAACACCGTCCACCCAGTCATTCTTCGTGATTATAGTAGCTCCCCTGCCAGGTAAGTATATCCAGGCACTCTGGATAATACCCTGGACTTATCTATCTCACATTCAGGTCTGGCCTACCTGCTCTAGGGGGGATAATAATCCAGGCTCTCATTCATTAGGGAACTCTCCCTTTCTGATGTAAATATCTTTGTATTAGACACTTCCCTGTTCCTTGGATGAAACATCCAACACTCACAACATACAAGGACAGTTTTATCTGGCTCATGGTTTCAGGGTGTTCAGTTATTGTCAGTTGGCTCCAAGGCAAAAAACAGCATAGTAAAAGGGCACCAAGAAAGAATGTTGCTCACCTTGAGGCAGCCAGGAAGCAGAGAGAGTGAGGAGGGGAAGGACTAGAATACAAGAATACAGTAAAACCCTGGTTTCTGAGCATAATTCATTTCAGAAACATGCTTGTAATACAAAGCACCTGTGGATCAAAGCAATTTACCCCATAAAAAAATGGAAACGCAAATGGTTCATTCCACAATCCAAAAGTATTCTTATAAAAATGATTACTATACTTTAATATAATAGAAAATAATAAATAAAGCACAAAACATAAAGAAAAATAAATTAACCTGCACTTACCTTTGAAACCCTTCACTGCTCGTGTGAGGGAGACAAGAGAGAGGAGACAACTTTCACTAACATTAATGGAATCACTGCTAACTTGGCTCAGTGAAATCTTTTCCTTTTTGCTTAGCTCTAACAAGCAACCTATCCAGTGACACTTGCTTTTGCTTCCTTCTTAGGATTTTGCAGAAATTTGGCATTGCATTGTTGTCAAACAGATTCGTTGCTTGCACTGCTATAGCCTTATTCAAGTGGTGCTTTGCTATAAAAGTTTGCACTGTTGCCCACATTTCACACATCTCCCTAATCTCATTTGAAGTGAGGGCTTCCTCTGCCTTTTCCTCCCCTCCTCCTCTGCAGACGAGATCTCCTCTATAACCTCTTTCTCTTGGGAGGTGATTACCCACAATCCTACAGTGAGAGAGAGAACCTTTGGCTCAGTTGTATTCGTGACACATTCGGTATCGCGTAATACTTGTATTGCAAGACATTGCTCATTTATCAAGTTACATTTTATTAGCAAAGTTTACTCACAATCCAAGGTTTTACTGTACACCTTCCCAGGTCACACCCCCAGTGAACCACTACAACCAGCTCCCACCCCTCAGCATATCTGGTTACTGAACTCACCAATGGGTTGTTTCACTGATGAGCATAGCATCCCCTGATCTAATCACTTTCCAAAAGCCCCACCTCTGAACATGAGATTTCATGTTCACGAAATGGAGGACATTTTAGATCTGAACCATAATAGAAAAGTAGCACCTTCTCTCTAGAATATGCCTTCTGTCACAAGTTTGGAGGCCCGTGGCTGTCCATGAATGCCCTAGCTGTCTTGCTGGGAGAAACACCCAAGAGATGTTGTATAAAAGAAAACAAACAAACAAGAGAAGAAAACAAATATTTCCCTCCATGGCCAGAGTCAGGGTAGAATCTACTGTAGGCATTTTTACAAGCAACATTTGCTTTCAGCTGTGAGGGATCATTTTTCTCTTTTTTAAAAATCTGCAATCTAAAATAAATGTTTGCAGAAGGAAGAAGTTTCTGCAGATAAAATTTAGTCTGTCTAGTGCTTGGCTCACTTGAGGATATGCTGGGATAGCAATGGGCTTGTGGCCCCACAACAGGCCTCACACTGATAGACAGGAAGGAAGCACAGGACACTAGCCATCCGTTGCCCAGTGTGCGGCAAGAACTGGCCGCCGACCCTCTGGCTGACTGAGAAGATGCTTCACCTCTCATTGCTTCTGTTTCTTCTTTGAAGAGTAAAGTCATAAGGGTAATGGTCTTTTTTGCTTTGTACAATCAATTTGGATTAAACCATGTTGGAAACACCTTTGCACAAATAGCACTGCATATGCTCCCAGGAGTATCATCCCAACCCCTGATGGCCAACCTGTCCCTTCCCACCCATCAGGCCCAGCATCTATTTCATCTGATAAATCCAAAGGATTCAAAAGTTTCGCACCCTTTCTGTGCCACTTATTGACATGGCTTTTGACAATGTGTCACCATTTCCTCATCTGTGACATGAGGAAAACAGGCCTTCAGTGATTTAAATGAATGAACCCTTAGGAAACCCTGGCACAGACGAAATGTGTACTCCCAACAATTAGCAGTAGCACTCGCACACTCACCACCTTGTGTTATCTCAACTCTAGATGTCCCCCAAAAGCGTCACACACTCATAGGTGGGGCTCTTTAGAGGTGGCTGGATCTTGGCTGTGTGAATATGGATTAAGGGTGTGTGATTACTAAATTAGTATACTTGTTGGCTTAGCATAGTTCTGTGAGTGGATAATGGGACGGCTCACTGTGAGTGTGGGTGGCACTAACCAATAAGCTTGTAGCACGAATAGAATAAAAGGGAAAGAGGAGCTTGATGCTTCACTGCCTCCTGCCTACCCTGCTATGGACTGTTTCTTTTCTGCCATGCCCTTCTGCTACACCACCCTACCTTGGAGCCAGCCAACTATGAACTGAAAACTCTACAAACTGTGAGCTAAAATAAACCTCTCCTTTAACTTCTGGGTAGTAGGTATTTTATTCCAGCCATGAGTAACTAAAACAACTTGTGTACTTTATTTGTCTTCCATGAGACTGTAGGCTCCTCCAGGTCATCAACCATGTCTTTTCTATTTAACGTTTCCCTCTTTGAAGTGGATATTGGATACCTGTTGCAAACCTAAGATGGAATAAAATGCTACCACCTTCAGCCTCACCTACTCCATCCAGTGCCGGTTCAAGGCTGTTCCCTCAAGCTTGCATTATCTTTATACTGGTGCCATTTGACATGGTCTTGTCTCAGGTGATACAATGGGTCTCTTGTCCTGGGGGGTCCCTTGCAGTGTCACCTTCCTGAGCACTCAGACCTGTACAACCGGAAGCAGAGGAATTTAACACTATGGGAAGCTCTTCACCAGTGCAGATAGGAGCCAATGTTCTACACCTCCTTCACCAGGGGAAAGTGCCAAAATGTATTTCATAAGGTGACTCAGAGGCCCCTGAGATTGAGCAACCAGTCACTTGGGTGGTGGCCAGTTTAATAAGATCTCCTTGCACTGGGTGGATCGCTGCTTCCCATTTTATTTCCCTAGGCCCTTATTGAATCTTCAAAATTAAAAAAAAAAAAAAAAACACTGTAAGCCTTTCCTCTAAGGTTCTATCATTGGGAAGCACAGGTGAATGAAACCCACTCTGTTTCCTGTGTCCCCCATTACAGTGAAAGCACTGTCTTCATTGTTTTCAAGAGGGAATCTGGGCAAAAGATTTTCTATTTTTCACCCTCTTTGGCCACTACCCCCATTCATGCAATCTGGTGATTGTCTTCCTGTTGATTGCTTTTACTTCACTTCCTGTTGATTCGATTTTATTTCCGGTCACTATTTCCTTACTTCCTATTGATTGTACTTCCTTAGCTTTTTCAACAGTTCATTTCTCGTCATCTCAGCTGTCTCTGTCTTGGTAGAGGTCACCATCGTCTTCTCAGTGGATCTTGACAGTCTCTCTGCTTCCAGTGCTTCATAAGTCAGACCTCAGAAAATCTAACACAGCTCACTCTGGAGTCTGAGATTTAACCTGAGGACAGTGACTTGCTCAGATCCATAGTTTAGAAAATCTCACCATGTTATCAGGAGTGACGAGGAGCATCTCCAAACAGGGAAGTAAGTTAGCCTAGTTTAGCCTAATTGAAGGCTGCTAGAGGAAGATAAAGCAAGAGATGGCAAAATCCAAAGAAGCAGAAGACTTGGCAGAAGTTTTGTACCTTTCTTCTCATTTCCTGGGATTCCTGCAGCTCCTGCCAGTGCACCTCCAGGGTTTCAGCAGGAGGGAGCAACCTCACAGAGTCTGACAAACCAGGCATTTTTGGTATTGGGGAACTCAACAACCTACTGTGATCTGGCATCCTGTCCTCAAATGAAAGTGCTGCTTCATCGCTAGACAGAGCATGGAGCAACCAAAGGGAATTCAATTAATGAGCTGCGTAACAAGCACAGACACACTGTGTGACTCATCCCAGCACCAGTGCCCTCAGCCTTTGTGCTGATTAACAGCATTTCCAACCTGGGGACAGGAAGCCTGAAGTCTGCTGTTTATATATTTATTGCTGTCACCCATAAGCACTTGGAGGGCAGAAAGTCCAGAAAAGTCTTATGTATGCTTAATCCTAAATTATAATACAATGCTTATTCAGAGACTAATAAAACCCATCTGGGGCTCTTTTTTAAAAAAATACATTTTGCTGCCAACCATCATATTCAGCTCTCATAACTCTCTGAAGAGACATTATTTTATTCTGTTTACACATGAAGAAATTGAGGCTCAGAAAAATCAAGTAACTACTAGAGTAATACACTCCCACATTCATGACTCTTTGCTGAAATCCCTTTCCAATCTCTTCCTTCAAGAATTAAACTATGCTGGTCAGAAAGACTTCTCTGGGTGGAAAGAACCTCTATCACTGACCCATTTCTCAGAAGTTACTGTTTTATCTAGAGCCAGAGGACCCATTCTCTCTCATCCAAACCCTGGCTGCTTGCTGAGGTTATCCAAGTGCTACTTTGTCAGGGAGGCCGGTGGGATCCCCCCAGCACACAGAGACCACACCTGCCTCCAACTCCCACCCCACCCTCGCCTGTGTCTGGGTCTTCAGGGTCAGCACTCTATATACCTCCTCTTTATTACAGAAAGCTTACTGGTCATTTAATGCTAACAATAAACACACTTTAACTACAGTGGAACACAGAGCAGAGGACAAGCATCATGAATTCGTAGCATGCTGGCTTTTCACAAACAATATTGTTACCTATTATGAGCATGCTGCAATGAATGTTTGCACACACAGGCATCCTCTGAACATTTACGTTCATTTCTCTTAGGCAAATATCCACAAATGGTATAGAGCAGTATCTCACTACAGTTGTAATTTTCATTTTCCATACTATATTAGTAAAGTTGATTAGGTGATCGCCATATATCTTATTTGTGGAACAGCTATTCAAATATTTTGCTCACCTAAAAAAAGTAGACTGTATTCTCTCGTCGTAAGAGTTTTTTATGTATTTTTGATATAAGTCCTTCGTCAGATATGTATTTTCTCCCAGCCTGTGGCCTGTCCATTATTTTCCTTTTGAAGAACGATTTAAATTTTTATGACAACCCTGAAATACAGAGAGAGAGTGGCACAGTCCTGGCTTCAAAGAACCCACAGAGCTATGGGAAAACAGCAGGGCACCAAGTGGCAGCCTGGCAGGATTATAGTGATGGTGGTGACCACAGATGTCACAGGAGCCCAAGAGGTACAGCTCATCTGGCCTGTATGGAGGTTTTGATGATTTTGAAGAAGAATGCAAGGAAAGGAGAAAGACCATTTAGGTTAAAGACAGATGTGTGAACAGACACAGTCACGTGGTTTGCACAGTACATTTGACCACTGTAAGCCTAGAAATAGACAAATGGGAAAATGAAACATTAAGAAAACTGGAGCATTATACATAGTCCAGAAATCAGCCACATATACAACTCGACATTTAATGAAAGGGGTATGATAGGGCTACTGGTAAAGAATGTGTTATTAGATCAATAAGACGAAGGAAATTCATGTGGAAAAAAGATAAAAATTTTACTTGACATATGCCCCCACAATGTATTTCAAAGACATAAAAATGTAAAAAAAGAAAAAATCTAACATTTTTAACTCAAATACAAGACTCATATAACTTATATAACAGAATATCTTTATGATATCAGAGTAGGGAAGAGATTCTTAAGGGAACAGCAGTAGGAAAAAGGATTGGGATCTATTTCCGTTTTTGCCATTCTCGTGGGTGGAATTTCATTGTGATTTCATTTAAATTTTCGATGAGCAAGGGCATTCAGCACCTCTCCATGCTGTGATTCCCCAATGGATCTCCTCTTTCACTGAGTGCCTGCTCAAGCCTTCTGCCTATTGTTCTATGTGTTCTGGGTATGAGCACTTAGTTCAATGGGTTGCAAATATCTTTTCCCACTCCATGGATTTTTATTGTTTTGATAAAGAGAAGCTCTTAATTTTCAGAAATCTAATTTAGCAATGTTATTAAAGGACAGTTTGGGTGGAGTTGGGGACACATCCTGCCCACTTCCATTCCCAGCTCTGGGTGGTCCAGTAAGCCTGGCCTATTTTCCAATATAAGGTCTTTCTGGATGGCAGTTCACTTGCTCAAGGGTTCCTGAGTGCCTCTCCCCTGGCTGCTCAAGATATGAGGAAACAAGACAAAGGCAACTTCTCTGCCCTTACGGAGCTTACATTCCAGTAGGGAGTTACAAAACGCACAGCCTGGAGGCTTCAGTGTGAGTAACAAACTACATCTGCAGGACTGCAGAGTGGGCCGAGTGGGGATTAGACATGATGAACGTATAAAATCAGAAAGATGGCACGACCTTCTCTGGCAGTGCTTGGAGGCCTGGGAAGAGATAAAGCCAGCGGTAAAGCAGTATAAATTAGAGTGAGGACCAAACAGCAACTCTCTGGCTTTATTTTCTGGAAATATAGTCCAATCTCCAAAGGCTACAGCCACACTTGGCTCCGTTTTAGCTCTAGCAATGCTTAAATGAATCTAGAGGTAATTTTTGGGCACAGATGCAACCAGGGAATGAAAACATTCTCATCATTCGTCCTTTTCTATTTTTAGTTCCTGACTCAGATAACCCCGCGTAAAATCAGGGAACAGATCAGGAGAAGGGATTTGCAGGCACAGCAGAGCGCCTGGCTGACATGAAGTGTTGTGGTTTATATCTGGATGCACCTTTGGGGAGGTGACTGGACCATGGCGGAGTGACGTTCATCAATGGATCAGTCCACTGATAACTTGTAGCTAAATGCAATACTCATCAGCAGATTCGGTGCCTGCTGCATTTATAACCAGGTGCATCGCTGGGAGGTGAGGCCTGTTGAAGCACTGTGGGTGAAGAGTTTATATCCCTCCTCCCTTGATCCCTCTCTGCTTCCTGCCATGCCACCCTGCCTTGGAGCCAGCTGACTGTGGACCAAAAGCTCTACAAACCCTGAGCCAAGATCTGCCTCTCTTCCTTTAACTTGTGGGTGTCAGTTATTTTGTCCCAGCCACAGAAGAAAAGAAAATAAGTAGACACTTTCTGAAGAAAATAGAAATAGAAATGACAAGAGTGGAGGAAGCTTACTCCTTAACAATTAAGCGATGACAATTCCAACTCAAGGTGTATGCAGACTCTGTGTGAAAGTTTCCAAATTATAACTTCGCCTGGTAAGAGTCCATAAAAGAAGCTTTATTTATGCAGAGCCGACTCAGTTTTTGAACTGAAAGACAGATGGAGGAAGATACTTTTTGCCCCCAAAATATATTTAAGTAGTCATAAAGCAGAGGGAAAACTTTGTCGAGAAAATGAACCATGTCATTGATAGTTCTTAACTTGTACAAACTTAGACCGTCTCCCCAGAAAAAAGTCAAATAATTATGTATTTAGTTCCCTTGAATGCAATACAGTTTTTCATCAGGATCCTGCTGCCTAGCTCTGAACTTCCGGTTGCAGGCTCTGACTTGTATTGCCTCATTTCCCAGTGATGCAAATAAATAGTGTTGCTATTTTTGGTCCACTTTGCCACTCTGCAGTTGTACTCCTTCCTAGTGTGCTTAAAACCTGTGCTTATAAATCTAGTGGAATATTGATTAAGTATCCCCAGCTCCACTTCACAGTTGAATAAAATCGCAAGGAGCTAGGATCTACACAGCAGTTCACTGAACCACCTGGTGGCCCTGCCCACCTGGAAACATACTGCCCTGGTCTTTGCTACGCTCCAGGCTCTCAGGCTGGATGCCCGGGTCTTGGTGTGCCCTCTGGCAGGCACACCCGTGTGTCACATCCCTGCATCCTACCTCCACCCAAGTTCTGAGCGATTATCCTGATCCCACATGCTTTATCAAATGTAAATATAACACCCTTTTTCAAGGGAAAGTTACTGTGACATGATCCCTGCCCAGAGCATACTCAAAGGCCAGCCTCAATTGTCCAGAAGAGTTTCCAATACTCGATAGTCCTTGAAAAGCTCTTTGTGCAATTTTCAGATGATGTAATATCTACCTACTAAGCGCAAGCCTCTGCTGGTAGAGAGTTTTGCTGATACTGTTGAGAAGCCATCAGCTTGCATGGCTTTTTATTGACAAAGATTAAAAGAAAAAAATTATGGTAAGAGAAATTGGCATATTTGAAGGTAAGAACAACACTATATGTGTGTGTGTCGATAGGCACTGTCTTTAAAATACTGTATAGTGTATATTTTACAGACACAGCACCTCTCAATATAAGTCAATATACGGAGACTTGTCCTCCTAACCTTAGCCACAGTTACTCCATTTTGCAGTGGGCCCTGCTTAGCTGTGGGTTGGGCCACCTCCGGCAGGGCCTTGTGCCAGACAGGAACATGAGAAGCTCACCCACTGCTGTGCTGGGCAGTGCTTACTGAGTCCGGTGGAATGTCTGATAGGGGTGGGATGGGAATAGAGTATGCACAACTCTTCCCAACAGTTCTTCTTGCTCTTGATTCAAATTTTGCTATTTTAATTATAAAACCAGTTCAGCAAAGCAGGATGTGTAATTTCTGCTACTCTGTAACCAAATAAATGTAATATATTCCTTTATGCACCACGCTGGACTTGTCCAAGTCATTCTTTGGACTGTTTGGTGCCCTCTCAGATCAGAGGTAGATGTTTCTTTTATGTCTCTGAGAGATTTATGGAGCAAAGAGCAACATTGTGAGGTCTTAACAGCCACTTGTAAACAGGACTGGACGTTACATTATGTTGGACATAATGGACACTTTAGAAAGTTTACCATACACAGGACTCTTAAAAGGTGTTCTTACAGGAACCACTTCAGCCAGTAGTAAATTTAGTGGAACAGGAGAGACTAACCTTCACTATCCCCAGCCCCCCAAAAATTTCAATAAATAAATAGAGAAAGAAATCTACAAACCAAAATGCCCTAGGAGGGTTCAAGGTCTCATTAAAGAATCTGAAGCCACACTGTGGAGAAAAAGAATCCAGAACTCCACACAGAAAGGGTCACTGGAGAGATCAGGCTCCCTGAGATGCCAGGAGCTTTCTAGGAATAAGACGAACGTCAGAAGCTGTTGGTATTGGCCAACTGGGGGCAACTACTCAGTTCCATGACTTGCTCCTCCCAGCATTTTTTGCCACTGAGGAACCCACAGCCATTACTGTAAGATAAGGGCCTTGAAATGGCTGCTGCCATTCTGATAAATAACTTCCTCTTCACCTTAAAGTTTCCATTCCCCATCTCACGCATCCCGGGTCACAGTAAATGTCCAAGGGCGGCCCCTGAGTGGCTGTCCATGCAGCTGACACAATCCTCGACATGCCTACAGCAGTCACCCACTATATAACCAAGCCCCTTTCCCGCTCCCTCTCTCTCTCCTTTGTTCCCTTTCCACCGAGTGGGCCACTGTGCTGCCACAGCTCTTTAATAAAATCTCTCATACGAGCTCAGTCAGTGTGTGGGGTGATCTTTGGCAGGTGCCAGGTCCTTTCCATTACCATCAGGAAACCCAAGAAGGGACAAACCCTGGAGTCCAGAAACCCCACTCAGGAAGCAGCCACCTCTCCTCTTGGATATGCCTCTGAATTGAGCTGCAGCTGCCCTGAGAGTGCCCACACACCCTGCTCTGTGGCTACGCTGCACTTATCCATGTCTTCAACGACACTGGAGCCACTGTTATAGCCAGCTAGCTTACACTCCAGGTCCCTCTGCATGTGGCCAGACTCTGGGAAGCCGCTCAGCTGCCATAGAGAACTAGGCCCCATCCTGACCTCAGGGCAGCATAACTCTGACCACACTTATGCTTCCATTCTTGGCTGCTTCACAAGCGTTCATACTTTGCACGAAGTTACTAATGTAGCACAGGGCACCAGTGGCACCAAGCTCTGAGAACCTTAAACTATATGCTTTCCACACATGCCCTGCTTCAAGATCTAGGTTCCATGGACATGATATGGGTGTCCCTCATAAAATACTAATGCCACTGCCAGAACAAGTAGACCCACAGTCTGGATCCACTGATGGGAAGGATCCCCCTACCCTCAGCATCTCTGGTAGAGAACAAGAGATTTGGAGGAGTTTAGCAACT